TGCCGGCAGCTGTCAGGAACTCTGCCCCTGTTCAGACTGCCGGGACGCTGCAATGCCTGACCCTTGTAAAATAGCAGCTAGGGATTTGCCTTCCCTGTCGCCTCATCCGCTGTTCCTTGGACTGTGCCGGCAGCTGTCAGGAACTCTGCCCCTGTTCAGACTGCCGGGACGCTGCAATGCCTGACCCTTGTAAAATAGCAGCTAGGGATTTGCCTTCCCTGTCGCCTCATCCGCTGTTCCTTGGACTGGAGCTGGAGCATCTATGAGGACAGTCAGGAACTCTGCCCCTGTTCAGACTGCCGGGACGCTGCAATGCCTGACCCTTGTAAAATAGCAGCTAGGGATTTGCCTTCCCTGTCGCCTCATCCGCTGTTCCTTGGACTGGAGCTGGAGCATCTCCCCTATGAGGACAGGCTGTTGAGGCTGTTCAGCCTGGAGAAGGGTGTGTGGAGACCTCAGCAGCCTTCCAGTATCTGAAGGGGCTACAGGGGAGCCAGAGAGGGACTCTTTGTCAGGAACTGCAGTGATAGGACAAGGGGCAACAGGTACAAATTAAAGGAGGGGAAGTTTAGGTATTAGGAAAAAAGATTTTCCTGTGAGAGTGGTGAGACCCTGGAACAGGTTGCCCAGGGAGGTAGTAGATGCCCCAACCCTGGCAGTGTTCACAGCCAGGTTGGATGAAGCCTTGAGCAACCTGGTCTAGTGGGGAGATATCCCTGCCCATGGCAGGAGGTTGGGACTAGATGATCTATAAGGTCCATTCCAACCCCCAAAATTCTATGATTCCCTGGCTACATTCAAAATCTGTTTCCCAAGTAATAGCATGCTTACCTGCTGCCTCTTCCCATATGGTATGTATTCTGCTTCCCTGAGTCATGAGAACCTCTCCCTGCCAGAAGGGAATGTGGGCTTGTCCCTATGTAACCATGAGATTAACTTCTACTGTCCTGCATAAAGCTAAATTTAGGCCCTTCAAGAGGCAAAGCACTACATGCTATTTAGTTTCATGCTTTATTTAGCAGAAGTCTTACTTGGAAGAAGTGGAAACAGCAGTCTGTAATCAGAACATAAAATCATTTCAAAATTTTTTACATCTAAGATATTTTAATATTGTTGCAAGTTAAAAGAATCATCATTAAGTGCTTTTCTTTAGTAGTTTATTCATGAATTTCCTATCTGAGAGTTAATGAGGGTTTGTTCTCAGTATGGTGCTGAGCAGTTAACTTTTTAAAAAACTAGACTCATGCCTTGCCCACCTCATGATGCTGCTGTAACTAGTTTGTAGGTGCTATTTTTTACTAGTTTCCTCCTTATTACCTCATTATCTATGATGTCTATGGTTTGTCAGGCACATAAAAAACCAAGGGTCATTCCAAAATTAGCAAACATGCTTAGAGTAACTTTGATTACTAAGCAGAGAAGCTTTGGCATAGCCTGCTCCTATACACGTAGTTATGCAGTGGACTATGTCTGCACGCCCTTTGACTTACTCATCTGATTTACAAACTGTCCTGGGGTTAATTACTAGATTCCAGACAATTGGGTCAATAGCTTTTCTAGTCACACCTATATTTTGAAGTGCAGTGAAACTAGTCTGAATGAAGCACTGCAGGTTGATAAAATATGAACCACCAAATGACATGCTGTAAAACTTTGATATTTTCTTTACCAATGCCTTGGTTATAAAGCTTTAGATGATCTATCTGTATTGAGTGAAATCAAATTTAGTTTGACAATTCCACTTAGGCTCCAAAATAGTGTTTCTGTTTGCACAATCTAATGAGGTACTCTGACTGGTGAGGAACTGCAGTTAGCACTTGCGAGTATTACTTCAAGATGTTACTTCAGAACACCAGCAGCAGATGTGTATAAAAAGCACAGTTTAGCCATCAAGACTTAATTAAGCTGCCATCAACCAAGTGCTTTGTCTCACTGCTCTAGCTCTGATGCTTCTTGGAGCTATTCTCATCCTACTAACTTCAAAGTTACCATACTACAGTTACACTACAAGGGTGTTCAGATTAAGAGTTCTCTGAATTGCTGCTGTAAGCTATTTTGCAATATTCTGTACCTTTGATGAGTCAGCTGAGACAATTTAACTTTCTGCTAGAACAATCAGCTTTACTCATTTGGGAAACAGGCTCCTCATTTCTGCTTAATAAACTTGGCAAAAAAACTAACCCAGCCTTCAAGAAAATCTTTGTCACTTTGTTAAGGTGAATTAGCCTGCTTGGGGCAGGGGGTGCAATGTCAAAAACCCCACATCTGGGAGGAAGAAGACTGTAAGGTCATGTGGTGACAGCTCACTTAGCTCGGGAGATCTCACTCTGAACAGTGGTAGCTGTGTCCCCATCAAAATGACCGGCGTGCAGGAGAACAAGCAATTGCACAAGGAGCAAGAAAGGAACAGGCTAAGGATTAGTTCTGGAAGCACAGAAGGGCAGAAATAGAGAATGTAACTATGAACCAACAGTGTTTATTGTTGCAGAAAAAAAGACAACTTGGCAAATATTCAAGAAAGGAAAGAATCTGTTGTATATGAATGGCACTGATAAAGCACCACCTAAAGCACAGTATCTGTAGATACTGTAGAGACCAGCCAGAAAATACCATATAAATGACAAAATAGCAGGATTACTTCATAAAATGAACAGAAACCTGGAAAAATACTATCTTTTGAATTGCTATGTCTACCTTCCAATGAATTTATGATTACTTGCACATCTATAGGGGGTATAAAGCAGAGCAATAGTTTTGATGGTTCTTTTTCCAACACCTAAGATTCAGATGAAATATATAATCAACCTATTTTACTCATTTCCAAGGGTAAAGAAATTATCTTGGACAAAGTTTTATGAATGATTTCTCATGTAGAGTTCTGTAAAATTCCTGAGTTTATATATATGCTACTGTTAAGATGAGGCAGATGGAATTAAGGATTTTTCAGATAAGGAGACATACAGCAACACTTAGCATTTAGGTCATTAACGTCATGTTGGCATAGTAGAAATCAATTACAATACTTTGTACATTTCTGTTTTAACTTAGGAGCCAGGGAGATATTGACAGTTATTATTAACTCTGCACATTTAGTATAATATCTTGCTAATCAAGTCACAGTTATCTTCTGCACTATGTTATACCCAATTAATCTTCTTTTATCACCAGATTTCTCCTCAAAAAAGAATACACAAACCAAAACAAAGAGCCTTTCAGGCATCTAGATTTCAACAATTAGCAAAGCAACAGGTCACAGTGCTTTAAAGTTATTTTGCAGTTTTCACCAATGCTTTATTGAGAAGTGAATTGCAGTGCCATTACACTATTTGAAAGTCATATAACTTAGTAGGAGCTAAGTGCTACTTGAAACACAGTAAGACAGGGCAGAGGGGTTTTTTGCCTGGTTGGAAAAACAACAGGATTTCAAAACCTCGCATCATTACACTGTTTATCACATGTGGAACAGCATAAAATCAAATAATTTGTGTAACACATGTAGATGCTACATGTTTTCCTACTGTTTACAGGTATGTACCATCACCCATTTTGAGAGAGCAGATCAAAACTTGTAGTAGGCAATTTGTTTCAGGTACTCTTTCTCGTTAATTTCCTAATGCAGAATGTACACAGCATTTCAGTGAAATATAGTCCAAGATTTGTATTGAAACTAAAATTATGAGCAAGTTCTTCCTAGTGCTGAAAGACACAAGAAGAATCACTGTGAGTTAGCAACTATGAGACCTCTTACTTTGGCTGTAAATCAGCAGTCAGAACCTGGAAGACTGAATTCTTTCTGTTGGTCTGATTTATCATCTCCACAAAGATTTTTGTTCCAGGCAAGACTATTTTAGGCTGTTCCCTAAAGAGTTTTGCCTGGCATAATATAAGTAAGATTAGAAAATTGATAAACATGCCACTACTTAAGTCGAAGTTAGTCCTCCACTTTATTTTTTAGTATACAAGATCGGGATCTTATTCAGGAACTTTTAAATGCATAAAAAAGTATTTCTTTTTTTCCTCCTTGTTGAAGCTCGTCAGAAGCAACACATTTTTATTTTTTTTTGATAGTTTAAATCTAAACAGTGTGAGATGCAGTGAGTTTCTGGTCACATATCTTTCACCGTGTTTAGTGAAATATTAACATAATCAATGTTCAACAGCAGAATTTGTATAAGCACTCTTCCAGAAAATGGCTGAGTTCCTAATTGGAAACAAATTGCAGTGGCATCATAGGAAAGAAAAAAGAAATTCAATTACAGTGAGGTCTCAGGGCATAGTTTTAGAGACTCTGAACATGAATGATTCCTCTCTATTAAGTGAGAATTTCACAACCACTGCTACAGATTTTCTCCAGGGCCCTGGAAGTGGGTAACTCTTGTATAATATACTTCATAAGAACTAAGTGAGAGTCACCATGTGGTTAGGATTCAAAATTTCAATCCAGTAGCCATCAGGATCCTGAACAAACGCAAGTCCTTTCATTTTACCTGTTCAAAAAAGAAAAAGGAAAAAAAAAAGATAAAGTTAAGACTACATAACTGATTCTCTAATGTCAAATATGACTATTTTGAAAAATAGTTTTCCTTTTTTCTTTTTGCATGAGAATCACTTCAAATTTAGACAGCTAATTCTGAAAATGTCCAGGTGAGTTTTTAATCAGCATCAGATCTTTTTATGCTAAACTGTCAGTCTTACTCTCAACAAAGCTGCAGTTTAATGTCCCTCTGAAATTCCATCTTTTGTTGCCTAAAGTTTTATGCATATGTCCCTGTAAGTGTTCATCCTCTAAAATCAGAAAAATATTTTTGTGCTCCAGGATGTTTTGACTATTTTCTTCCACTGGCTTTGCCAGTATGAAATCCTGTATTCCTCTGCCCTGTTCATCTCCCATCATTCACAACTCCACACTGAAACTTTATGTTACCATTTTTACCCCCTGATGTGGTTTACAGTACACATTTGCACCACTTTATAAAACAGAGAACTACAGGACAGGAATGGTTTTAATTTTACTGTTGGAAAAAAATATTGCTCATTAAAACAAGGTCCCCAGAAGGTGTCTTCAACAATAGATCAGGACAGCACAGCTTAACATGTTATCTCAAAAGTGTTAACCACACACCTTTAATCATACTTATTATATTAGACTATTTACTGTAACAGAACCAACCCAGCTCTTAATGTGTTCTAGTCACAAAACCAACTGATAGAGCAGTAGATGTGAGAGTCAGTAATCCAGGAAAAAACCCACCCTGGGTCTCTCACCCTGCTCCACAAACAATCTGAACAGTCCAAAATGACCTCCTCCTCCTTGGCATTTACTGCATCAATTTTGTTTCTAAATTTTAAAGAACAGCTTTGGCTCTCCCCAAGCCCCTTGACTGCTTCAAGAGTTCTTTCCTGTGATTTATCCCATTTATAGTCTACACTTCCTGTCCTACATACTTTCATTCCGTATCACTGCACAACACTAAGTCAGCAACTCTCACTTCAAGCCTCTGAGGGTTTGACAAAAAGGGCTCAGAAACTCTAAAATACGAAGTTCAGTTCTTAAATCAAGAAATCTGTTCCAGTTTTCAGCTATACTTCTTACATTTGCTTCAGTTGAGAACCCAGTGAATACGATGAAAATCACTTAGGTTTCTTTTCGGTTACTTCTCCTTACTCCTCTAGCAAGGAATCTAGAAGATCAATTTCATTACGTGTAAACTAAAGCTCATGTACTAATGCTACTTTCAAACTAACACACATCCCACACACCCCTGTCAGTACAGACAACAGTTCAGTTTCTATAGCCAGAAGGAAGAATGACAGATTTGTGCAGGCTGACGAGTATTAGATGTCTCTTTGGGAACATACCAGTCCTAGAAATCTCATTAGGTCTTTTAATGAAAGAGAATCCAGTCAAATAATGCAAGACTTCTCACCACTGATTTCTGCATTTTAGGCTATTTTCACACAGACATTCTTTGTTCACATACTCTCTAGATATTTGTGCTATACATTATGCATTTTTTACTAGAAGTTATGCAAGTTAATTACAATATAGATTAATGAGGCTACCAAAGCTAACAGAGCAGTTAAAATTATAATAACTAGAAGGTGGTGTTAGGTGGATTTAAATCAAAATAGCCAGAGAAGTCAAGAATTACTCAGTTTCAGTGTCTTCTGACTCATTTTCAACTGGTAAGAGCCAAACAGATGTGCCCTGTGAATTTGATCCATGTTACAGTAAATTCTCCATGGCAGCAGAATACATGGCATGTAAACTATGACATCTACAGAGCACATTAATTTTCCTGAAGGTCAGGCTGCATGCAGAAGGCACAGCTAGATTAATGAACCATTTTTACCTAGATGGATCTACTGCTGGTTTTGCCCACTCTATAAGGGGGTGTATGGGTAAGTGGTTCTAGAACCTACTAAGGAGTGGCAGCTACTAGAAACATGTTACCCAGCTGTCCACGAAGATTTACTAGACAAAATATATTAAAAGCACAGAAAAAAACTGACTTGCACTTCTGATCAAGACTTACCATCATCTGGTTTCTTCACAAATTTCACTCCTAGTTCTTCAAACCTCTTGCAAGCTTTATAGACATCAGGAACTGCAATTCCAATGTGTCCTACGCAACCAGGTAAAAAAGAGTGAAGTATGCTGTAAGTATTGCTGGGTGTTCTAGGAAAAAGTTTATATGCTGCAGTTCACATAAGATATGATTGTATACAAAAAAAACATTGCTTCCAGAAAGAACAGCATTTTGGGTATTAACATTTTTCTTCTACAGAGAGTTGGCTTTTGAAAGTGACTTAAAACCAGAACTTTAGAGTGGAAATATTTCATGTTGGTTAGATAAGAATATTGTCTAGAGTAGGAATTTAACTCTACTTCCTTTCTTGAAGCACAGCTACACAACAGGATTTTGCTGCATTTGCTCATTTTAACAGTACAAGGAGTTTAATGCTGCATTTGCAGAGACTAACACTTGCACTACACAAGGCCTGAGCTTACAAAATCAATTCAGAAACTTTAAATGTCAGGTGGCTAGACTGTGTGAAACTTTTTTCACAAGCAGTGACCTTTCAAGCACTCAGAGTATCAAATCAAGCCACACAAATAATATCCTCAGTGCTACAGACAAACAGAATTATCCTTCTACCTTAATATGTATAACCAGTGGATTATAAATCAGAAATCCAAGTGTAACTGTTTCAACACCATGATAATCTAATACACAAGCACAATTGCTGTTCTTCATTCAGTAGTTACAATTAGCATGTGTTTGCTTGCCAAATGATTAGACTCTTTATGAGTGCAACTGTGGCTCATTACTCTGAGTTTGTCACTCATTTTCACATCATACATTCTGAAAGAAGAAAGATAAAGGATGAGATGCAAATTCCCTTTTTTCCAAGAGCTAGGACATTTTCTTCAAAGTCACCCAGTAGAA